GCAATCAGCTATGGTGCAATACAGTACGACATGTGGTCATGATAATAGCATTACAGCAATGCATACAAATGTTTTCATTTTGCTTTCAAACCAAAAGCTAAAGAAGGAAGAAAAAGGTGTTCTTTCATTGCTCTGAATGGTTTGATTTCATGGTCATTTAGTACCTGATTTTTAATATTTAACCTGGAAGCTGCCACACTATGTACATTTGTTTTATAAAACATGGCGACAGCTGGAAAGAACAGGGCCTTTCCTGGCAGCAGGAATAAGGCTGGCAATCATGAATTGCCTCTCTCAGCAGTTTGTCCTGCCTGTGTCTTGCGTCACATGCTGTCCTTGTGCAATTGTGAGTCACTTGCTTCAAATCTCACTGCTCAGGGGGAGCATCCTGGGGAGCAGTATTTCTTCCCTGGGGGAAATGTGCACATGCAGCAGTGAGAAGCCAGGCCACCACTGTGCTCTAAGCAGAACAGATTTGCATTTCAGTTCAAGCTGTGGGGAAGGGAGTACACGGGATGTTGACTAATACTGCATCTGTTTTTAGTCCTGTTACCTGGGTAATGGTAATTTCACTTTGTTCTTTTCCTCCAGCTATTACAAAAGATTTTCTACTTTAATTTAACCTTTAACTGAATGAAACCCAGTCAGTTTGCAATCAAACTACCTAGTTCTTCCAGCTAGCACTGGTTCACTAGCAAAATGGTGGTAATAGAGGACTGATTTCAGGGGTATAAGTGTTGTTAGTTCTGTTCTAAGCTGGAAACCCATTTCTAATTTGCTTGTGTGATCAAGGGACAATTCTCAACACTATTTTAGCTTTCACCATTATGACTTATAGCAACCACTAATTCTACACTGAAGTTGTCCAGTTTTTTCTTTCTTGGTACAAAATTAAAATGGTAGGATGAAATTAGCAGACAGTGGTGGGGCCAATATTTTATAACAAAGTCTCCAAATTTCACCAGGAGTTTCAGTATGATCCTATGTTTGCTGGATGCCACACTTACTGATAAAGTACATTCTTGGTTTAGCACCAGTTAATATATTAAAAACAAAATGAAACTAACTAACAAACACAAGAAAAACCCCAAACTTACATACGCTCTTCTAGAATTCTGATTCATGCAAATAGCCAAAGTTGTAAAAAGTCAAAGGACTTTCACCACTGGCTTCTATTTTTCAGTCCATGAATAACAAACTGTTATTTTCTGGAACTGAAGATAAACCCAGATACAAAAATACAAATATGAAATTGAAAGGCAGCAGCCTGCCCCCCAAATCTAGAATGAGGAAAAAAGAATAAAATCAGAATCTAAGTTTAGCATATCACCAGCAGTGCAGTTGTGTGTAATCTACAGAATCTGGATGCAGGTTTCTGGAAAGGGAGAGCCAGAACACAGAGTGCTGTTTTCAACTCATTTCAGTCTTAAGTGAAAGCAGGATATTTCATACAAAGATCATTTCTTTTGAGGATTTTCATCTTCCTGAAGTTGGTGTTCTGGAGTGAAAGAAGAGAGAAGTTTTGGTGTAAAAACTGCAACCACCACATACTGTAAAACATCCAGCAAGGTAGCAGCAGTTTTGAGAGCAGAGGTTTTCTTCCCCATGACAGTCCCTATAATTAAATATGCTAAACTAATATGATAAAGATAGCCTTTATGATTAAATATGCTAAACTGATGTAAGATTGAAGATTGCATGAGATAAATGGGCAGACTGTAAGAAGTTACCATAATACAGATACCTGAGCTGCGTGATCATCAGCAGCAAACCAACATCATTGTCCGTGACTAGGTAGAAATAATCTGCAAAAACTGCTGTATCATATGCATGCTCTAAATATGCCAATGGCCAGCTGCAAATTTCTGAACCTGGCATTTGTATTTTTTTCTTTAGAACTGTACTATATTCACTTAAATTAGAAATTCATCTCCTTCCCCAAGGAGCTCATTCACTGTTCCCTGAAGTGAATATGTGCAGGGAGCAATCAGGAGCTTCCTGCTCTTGGCAAAGTGACGGTATTGGAGTTCAGGCCCTCAAAAGCCAGTTTTGCAGCCTGTGAACATCAAACATTTTCTTCCTGTCTTTCCATAAAGAACTCCTGAATGGATTTCTAAGGAACAAACACTGGGCACTCTCTCCTTTCTGTCAGTCTATCCGGAACCAGTGCAAACCTCATGAATGATGCTTGTTCTTCCTTTGAAGGGGATTAATGACAGAAAGACTTGAGCGTTTTCTTTTCAGAAATTACTCCATGGCGGTACTTTGCAGAGACAAGTACACATATCAGATTGTACAAGCATTTAGAGTTTCAGCCTTTGTTTTATGGCAAATATCTCCCTGATGTTTACCATGGTGCCAAGGCCTACAAAAATGTAGCTCCATAGTGCATTGAGATTGCTCCCTAAATTAAGGGACTGTGGGATTCAGCTCCCTGGAGAGCCCAGCTCTTGGTACTTCCACTTTTTTCACAAATCAAAGAGGTAGCATTTAATCCAGGGTTCTGTTCAAGTGCACATTTGTTTGTAAAGAATTTCTTCCTAATTCCCTTAGTGAGAGCGATTTTAGGATTATACAGTTTTCTAAGCAGGATCACAGAGCATAGTTAAGATGGGAGTCCAACCAAGCCTTGATCAAACTAACATTTCCAAAAGCAGAAACATTAAGAAATTGTGTGCTCAAAAATCTTACCGGACTCTGGGGAGCAGTCCTCCTTTTTAAAAATTATTATTTTCTTCTAACCCTTATGCAAACTTTTGTGTTGGGTGACATTCAGTGTCTGGTTAGCCTTGAGAGTCTTTGTGGAAGGTCAGACAGAGGGAGAAATGCTATCAGCTTCTCAGTAACAAACACTGCAGGAATGTTAACAGGAGGCAGTTTCCTAGATTGCAGAACTTCTAGATGCTGTCAAAAATGTACAATGTGCAGAATTCAAACCTTGCAGGGCTTTACTTTTATTCTGCAAGACAGACATCTGAAGGAGAAATGTAACATGCTGTAACAGACCCTAAGCTAAATTGTGCTTGTTCACATGTTCAACATGGAACATTGTAAAATGCCAATGGTTAAGCCACTGGAGATTTTCTTTTAAAAGCAACTGTGAAATTGGCTATCTGTTGCTGTTGAATCCAAAACACTGTGCTATTTCGAAAGAACAGCATAAATTCCTAGAAGGATGATGGCCGTAACTACTCTTCTCCATTTAACTCTTCAAAAGGAGTCCAGCCATAATTGACTTAAGCTTTAAGGCATGGGCTTAAAATCAAGGACTTCTTTAGTATGAAAACTAAAGGATTATCAGAATAGTCAGAAATAATCAGGAAGGCAATATAGAGGTGGTAAAACCTGATGTCTCTCTCTCAGAAATATGTCATGGAAGGAGCACTACAGACCAGAGTCAGCTGTTTCATTCCAAAGTCAATTTCAGTAAAATCATTCATATTCCAAGATGAAATTAACAGGAGTCTACAGCAAATTTTGGGCTTTCTTAAACTTTTTTTTTAAAGTTTTCCCCCAGGAAGGGTTGTTTCTACTATGGCTCTAGTTCTCAAACAGACTATATTAATAACTTTGGAAATATCTCTGTATTTCTCCTGGATTTGCATGAGAATAAAATGTAAAATATGCTCGTGTTATTTTGCAGAATATTGCCCAGAGAGATGTTTTCTGCCTTCTTAGAAACACCAGACAGTATGGATCACTGAAATGCCAACCCAGGTCCAACCTGCTTGTGTGGATCATGTGAAGAGCCATCAGGGGCACTGAAACAATCCCATGAAGCATGTTCAAGGTAGGTGGTACAAATTTCCTTGTACAGTGCCCCAACCAAAGCAACTTAGATCCTGTACCACAGGAAGGCTGCATAACTGCAGTGGAAATGCTAAGTCATGGCCTGAACCAGCAACTGAGCACCTGGTGGGAAGGCAGGACCAACCTGAGGGAGCTCAGGTACATGCAATACACCTGAGTGACTGGAAGGGGTGTAGCCAGGATCCACTCCTGCCCCAGACCTCATTTAAGGTTAGCAGTGGAGGTGAGGGCATCTCTTGCTAGAGATCCCTGCCTATCTAAGGCCTTCCAAAGGTAAGAAGCTTTTTCTGCATCTCTAGCTGCTGCACTTGGGCTTGATCTCATTTGCTGTAGCCAAAGACTTTGCCACCCTGCTATTACTGTCTGATTATAGCATTACAAAAATGTACTAAATTAAGTTGTATCTTGGCCCCATGGCTAAATTACAGATAAGGATTTCTACCTGACACCATGTAAAATGAAAGCACATGCAATGGTTAATTTAAAGTTAAGGTTCACTGCTGTCACAATGACCTTCGCTACTGTCAAAGTGTTCTGCCATCTGAAAACTTATGTATTCATAAAAAAACATGTAAACCTCTTTAAACATGTAACAATATTATTGTTTCCACAGGACTTTAAGGGGAATTTGGTTTCATTTATATTTTAGTTTATTGGTGCCATTTCTGAAAATTCCATACCTCTTAAAGTTATTTTGTATTTTTCTTATTACTGCTGCCCAAGCACAGGACAACTCTTTTCCCAAGATGAAAATGTAATATACATTGGAATTCTGTGTATGTAATGCCTTTCTTCATTCTACTGATAACAAGTATGTGAACAGCTTTTAGAGTGCCCATGTACTGCATGCTTTGCAGCACCTGGACAATTGTACCTCTTAAGTACACACTGCCCCACATTATTGCTTCAATTACCAGTTTTAATTGTTGAGGAATTATTATGTTTGATCTACTTTGTTTCTACTAAGCAATTTCGTAGCTGCTATCTACTTTATGACACAATTCCAAAGGTCAAGGTGTATGAACAGGCGTACCTTATCACAGCCTCATTCACTTCTAATGTGTCAAAGTCTTCACCAGAATTGGTTACTCATACAAGAGTGCACTGCACATGCAAGAACAACTTCTTTGTACTTTCAAGCAGGTCCCAAAACACTACCTTCCCATTTCCATGTACAAATTTACCCAAAATACAATGGCCACAAAAAATAAGATGGTTTATTGAAGTAGACTAAATGATCTAATGCTTAGACACCATATTTCCATTAATGTTGTTGCAGGGGTACATAAATGACAATGGAATTTTTTCCTCCCTGTAATCTGTCTAAGCACAGGAAATACAAAGAAGGGTGCTAAAAGCTTTCCAAGTCACAGAGCTTTGATAGAATATAAAAGATCTTACGTGTCCAATTTAAATATAGTTTCAACTTTTTACGTTACTGGATATTGTGCTTTTGAGTCCTCTTGGAGCTATAAAGGATTATAAACTGTTAGAGCTTGAGAAATATAAAGTTGATCAGATTTGTACCAGAAATGTAAAGATAACGATTAAAAAAATACTGTCCTTTAAAAGATATGCCACATGCTTAAATTTTAACTCGGAGTGTGATTGGCAGCTTTAGAGATGGAAAAACACTATGAAAAAAGCTATGAAGAGACATCACACAGGTAAGTTCAGTTTTTCTTTTTTTCCCCTTCAGTTAAACCTCCTCTTAGAAAACCACTGTGTCTGTGCAGTGAATATCTCAGATGTTATATTTATTTCTCCTTCACTTACGTCTGTATTCAGTGTTTACTGGAATTTTCATTATCCCAATATTTGGGGTAATTTACATCATTTAACTTGACAATGCTAATTGAACTGCACTGAGACAATATTTTTGTTTGTAAAGTTGTCCTGAATGAAATTCCAGACACCACTGAAGACAATACACACTCCATATGCATATTTATAAAACATTCCACTCCTGACATAGCACAGACATTACATGCATGAATTGCAACACATAGTCACATCATTAAAACTGTAGATAAAACACCTGACTGCCACTGAAAACTGTAGATAAAACACCTGACTGCCACTGTTGTCTGCTATGATTAGTGGTGTCAGCAACACAAACTTGCAATGGGTTCAAAGGGTCCAGCGTCAATTGAAAAAGAACCACTTACATACATTTCCATATAGGTTATATGTAATAAGCAAAGCCAACGTGAAACCAATGCATCCTGATCCTTGATTTTTCTAAGCACACCAGATCCACCTACTGACTGTTAGCATCTATATCCTTGGAGGAATATGGTATCTTCAACATATGGCATTGACAACCATGCAGATACAAATGCATTTATGCATATTCCACAAAAAGCTTCTCACACAGTACAAGATAAATATACAACATACTTATTGTTTTGTCTGAAAATGCATTATGCTAACATATGACATTTTAAAAAAATAGATTAACAATAACTGTTTAAACAGCAAATGCTATTAGTTTTATCAGACGTATTCTCCAGAGTTCTTTACTGAGAAAAAGAAAGAAAAGAAATACGGTCCTTTGTTTTAAATGAGAAAAGACAAGAGCAAAATGACTTTCTAACATCCTGATGGCAATACCATGAAGTTAGTGAAGGAACTGTCATGGTTAGAATTAACAACCAAGACCAACCAGCACTCTACAAGGACAGAAATCTTTTGAAGAAATCTAGGTGAGCTATGAAAGTCTGGTTTCAATCCAGTTGCATATAGGGACTACTCTGGCAGAGGGCAGTCAGCACCAAAGACTGGTAAAAAGTAGTATTTAGCAATGCAAATGTATTATGCCACAAAATTTAATTCTGCTCACTGAATTAATAAAATATTTACTAGTTCTCATAGCAGAGGGTATTGAAGTAGTCCTACTTTCTCTAACCTAGGGGATCCTGGAAGGAACCAGTGGGAAGCTTCATGAAGCTCTGTTCTGGCACCAGGTTGTACTTTGAAGCTGAACTATTAGGTAGAGATTTGCTGCAGAGCCTTTGCTTTCTTTGCACAAGCAAAACCTTCAAATCAAAAGATTTGATGTCTTTCAATCAAATTAAAAACATTTTTATTTTCATTTGCTTTCCCTTTCCTCATAGTTCCCCCTTGGAATATTGTTACAGTCTCTCACAGAAGTACACAGTGTTCTGTACCAACAAAAAAAAATAAACATCTGCATATTAGCTAAAAAAAAAAATCCAAGTATAAGCAATGCAAGGAAACACTGCAGAAAGAAATCTTCTGGTTCTACATCAAAGCCAAAACCAAACTGTTTGGACTGTCAAGTTTTACCCTGTGTTTAGAGGCACCAAAGATTTGAGAGGCATATCCTAACCAAGGATGCACAACACTGATCTAGCTTTACTACAACCAGCGGTTCATTCACTGAATGAGATCTGTTCAGGTAAAATGTGGTGATACCAGCTGCTAAAGAAGAAATCTAGGCTCCCTGTGATACCTCCAGGAAAGTTAGCACTAGAGCTGGAGTGGTGGGGAGACCAGCTGGAATTATCAAAGATTTCTCTCCTGTGAGAGCATGTGAATTACAGTAGAGAAGAGGCCAGCTTACCATATGGCAAGCGTAAGTCAGCTTTGGCACTTGTATTACCAAAAGTAACATAGTGAGAGTTCTCAACTCAGCAGAAAACCCACTGTGAAGATTTAATGTATCAGTGAGGAGTGGAGCAGCCACACACCTATAATTCCTGAAAAATCTTTCTAAGTTGGGTAAAGCTACCCAAGTCCAGCTCACATTAAGCAGAAACATGAGGTAATTGTTATTTGCAGAAGAAACAAGATGCCAATGATGGGGTAAGACAGGGATGCTGTTGGAGAGGGTCCAGAGGAGGGCCACAAAGATGATCAGGGGACTGGAGCACCTCCCCCATGAGGACAGGCTGAAAGAGCTGGGCTTGTTCAGCCTAGAGAAAAGAAGGCTGCGGGGTGACCTCATTGCAGCCTTTCAGTACCTAAAGGGAGCCTACAAAGAGGAGGGGAATCAACTCTTTGAAAGGGTGAGTGACAGCAGGACAAGGGGAAATGGTTTTAAGCTGAGGGAAGGGAGATTTAGGTTGGATGTCAGGGGGAAATTCTTTACGGAGAGGGTGGTGAGGTACTGGAACAGGCTGCCCAGGGAGGTTGTGGATGCCCTGTTCCTGGAGGTGTTCAAGGCCAGATTGGATGGGGCCCTGGGCAGTCTGGTCTAGCATTAGGTGGAATGGTTGGTGGCCCTGCGTGTGGCAGGGGGGTTGGAGATTCATGATCCTTGAGGTCCCTTCCAACCCTGGCAATTCTGTGATTCTGTGTAAGATTTTAAAATGCACAAATAACTAATGGAGTTAAAATTTCTGTCGTCTTTTTCGTTTCAAGCCCTGACCCATTAAAAAGAGTTGAACAGCATGAAGAGCAAGGTTTCTTAAACTGGCTCAAAAAAAATCCCAGAACAATGCAACCCTTACCATTCCTTAATTAAATGTAAAAGTCTATTGTGAATTATGTGGACGGTGACCATATTTTTGTAGACTATACCTGAGTAGAGATTGGATTTTATTTCTTTTCAGTTAATAGGCTAAACAAATATTTCAAGATACAGCTGAAGTGCTGTTAAAATAGTGATGTCTTAGGTCACAATCAGACTCTTGTATATACAATTCATATTAACTTAAAAAAATAAAGAAGTTCAAAATACCTCCAGAGAATGTTATATTTTAGCAAAATGTCCTGTACAAAAGTAGGCCACTGCTGCTGGTTTAAAAGAAACCCCTAGCAGTTATTTTCTTCTTAGCTTGTGCAGTAAGTGGTTTCTTCAGTTCAGGCTCTCTGTCTGGAGTACCTGCAGGAGACTTCAGCACTCCATGACGGGGTTTCTGTGCAGGATTGAAAGCTACACGAGAAGGTCCTTCTGGGCTCACCAAGATACTTTTGTCAGTCTTTTTAAATTCTGTTGAAAAACAAAAAAGTGAATTCAAAGAAATGCATCAAAAAGAAACTCATCAATTAACTGTGGAATTGTCCAGCCCTGGAATTTTGCCTTAGATCCTTAAGACCATCAGAAATGGTGGTCAAATGCATTTCTTAGCTGTGTCCCTTAGATAATGGGGTTTGTTGCAATCCACAAAAAGGCTGTGAACAGTTCATTCCCTGCAATTCCACAGGCCACCAGAGAATTAGCCTATCCCTCAGAAACAAGTGTTTACGTATCCCATAATCCAGCATCTCTGTTCTTACAGTTAATCAGCATATATCTCCAGAGACTCCTGGTTATCACTTCTGCTAGTAGATACGCATTTTTGTTCTCTTTGTGCAGCTGTTATATTAACATAAATGCATACATCAAATCCAACTATTCTCCATTTGAACTTGGCCTATAGTATACCTCAAAGTAACAAAAGTAGTTAAGTAAATACATGCCATTAAGTAAATGCCTTGCTGCATAGCTCAGAAGTTTTAACAGGAAAAAAACTCTCTGCATACAGGTGGGACACAAAGAGGAACTGGTATTTATCTACTCATTACTATAATGCATCAGAGGCAGCCAAAATAAAAGTGAAATTTTGCTGTAATACAGCCTGAGCTCATTAGAACATCAACACCTTTATCCTGAGAAACAGAACCAGCAACAAAGAATATGAAGTGTGTGTGCTTGAAAGGCACCCCCTGCATAACAAGAAGCTAGGGAAGGAGAGGTTTTCACTACCACACTCTTCTCAATCTATAAGGCTCCATCTGCAAGTCAACAGTGCAGTGCCATGGAACCATGCAAATCCAGCCACCAGCCTGAATGTCCTCAACTTCACCTTCTCCTCTGGTTAGGAACCTGAAGATGGCTTATAAACTAGTCAATGAACTGTTAATAAATACTGAGACAGAAAGAGATCAGACTAATCCTGCTTGAGAGAGATAACAAGAATTTTGGAGTGTAAATGTGTACAGCCTTCCCCTTCTTTGGTGACATGCGAGTGTCACACATATATCAGACTCACCAGCAGTCATGTTTTTATTCAAACCAAAGGTGACTTTTTTGGAGCCGGATGATTGCAGCTTATTCAACTGTGGAGCAAAATAAAGGCAGAAAATAAGACTTCTGAGGCAATAACGTGAGTTCTTTTACTTACATCCCATCAAAACTGATGCAAAGCAGCCTACTTCCCTCACTTCATTTAGAAGTCTTCCAACGATCTAGAATTAACATAATGATCTCTAAGACAGCACTGGTTTTCTAGCCAAAAGCAAACATATTCAATTTGTAGCGTAAATGACATGCTCTAGGATCATTACATAATTTGACAACGAACAAGGAAGTTTTTATGAATTAGACAGAGGGCAGTCTTTTGAAGCCTGGTAATGCTACCAGCTCCTGCAAGTGCAAAGAAATGGAGGCTCAGTCAGTTAACAGGACTGAAAATCAGTTAAGGTTTTTGTTTTGTTGTGAAATGAGCAGGTTCAAAATGAATCCTTTCAACAGAAAGGCATTTTTGAAATCAGAGGAGAATAAAGAGGAGACTTTGAAAATGCCTGCAATTCGTTTTCTGAAATTCTGAAGCTAACTGCAGATCTGTCTGGAAGGAAATGTGACAGCATCTCCAGATTTAACTGCCTGCATTAGGAGATTAACACAGACTGGAAAAGACAGCATGAGTGAGGGTGTGTGCTTGGTTTGGGCGTGTTTCAGGAGGAGACTCATGACAAGATTTAGCTGCCATTGGTGAAATCACATTACCGGAATGGAGGCTCTGGTGGAGGAGATGGTACTTCTGGCCTTCCTGAAGAGTAATGCCTTTGGTACAGTTGATTTTTCAAATTTTACGAAATCACTCCCTTGTTTTGCTTTCTTTTTCTTTACTGGTGATAAAGCAGTGCTGCTTTCCTACAAAGACAGAAGGGAAAAAATCCTCAGTACAGAAGTATTGTAGCTAATCAATACCTACTGCAATGATCAGAGCACAGAGCTTACCACACATGATTCTGTCAATGTTGCCAAAGCTCAGAGAGAGCTGTCTGGTACTCACATAAACCAGTCATCCTGATTAACTCTCAGGAATTAATCTTAGACTTATCCTGACTGAAAACACAATCCTAAGACAAGTTGGGTGCTGGAACGTAAAGCTCACTGCATAGCAAAGAAAAAGGACCTTGTGAAACTTTTGCCTGGCTCATCAGAATGCAAACAAAGCTTTCACCTTCCTGTGCATGATGCTGCCTTAAAACCAGTTCAACTCTTCCATAGTACCTCTGATAGGACCAGACATATAACTTCATCTCATTCACCTCAACCCATCTTATTCCAACCCCTCTGGCAAGGACAGGTTTATGAAATGGCAACACTCACAATGAAACTGAGGGGAAGGCCAGAAGCCTGTTCTCACGAAAAGGATCTGGGGATGCTGATTCTTGGCATAACGTGAGCCAGTTGTGCACCCAGGTGGCAAAGAAAGCCAACAGCATCCTAAATTGTATCAGAAATAGTACAGCCAGCAGGAGCAGGGAAGTAATCGTCCCTCAGTATTCAGCTCTGGTGAGGCCACATCTTGAATACTGTGTTTGGTTTTGGGCCCCTCACTACAAAAAAGACTTAGAGGCCCTGCAGTGTGTCCAGAGACAGGCAACAAAGCTGTGAGGAGGCTGGAGCACAAGTCTTAAGGGGAGCAGCTGAGGGAACTGGGATTGCTCAGTCTGGAGAAAAGGAGGCTCAGGGGAAATCTTTTAGCTATCTACAGCCACCTGAATGGAGGTTGTGGTGAGGTGGGGATGAGCCTCTTCTTCCAGGTAACAGTGATAGCACAAGAGGGAATGGCCTCAAATTGCACCAGGGGAGATTCATGTTGCTTATGAGGAAAAGTTCCTTCTCTGAAAAAGTTGTGAAGCACTGGCAAAGGGCAGCCCAGGGCAGTGGTGGAGTCACCATCCCTAGATGTCTTTAAGGGTAGATGTAGTACACGGGGACATGGTTTAGAAGGCAATATTAGAGGTAACTGGTAAATTGGTAGGACTAGATGATCTCAGTGCTCTTTTCCAGCCTCAATGATTACATGATCTTTAAGGTCTCTTCCAACCCAAGCCACTCTATGATTCTATGAAAGCTATCACTTTCAATCCAAGGCAATTCTCAGGATCTGCAATTTTGATGCTAATGAAATGCACTGCTTCAGAGCTTCTCAACATGTTGTCTGTTGGCATCAAATGCCTGTGAACTACTGTGAGGCTCATCTGCACTTTAGAGTGATCTACAGATGTGAAGTTCCTAGAACAATTTGCAGCCATGCTGTGGAAAACATTCATGGGGATTCAGCTTCTGTCAGTTTGCTTTAAAACAAAGCAGAACTCTTCTAGCTTCCTGAATTCTGAAGACAACCATGAAATAACACTGAATGTGCTTGTTTTTCTTCCTTCTCTTCCATTTTGATATTTGAAGATCATTTCTTAGGTGGGTGTATTATCTTGTGAAATTGGGATCCAAAACATACCCCTTATAATTCTCCTGGGCAAGAGACTAACATTACCTAATTAGGAAATAAAATAACATTTCTCTAATGATGAAATTTAAAAGAAAAAAAGGCAAAGCCTAATTTCCTCCAAAATTCTGTATCTTAGCTTATGCTATGCAGTGAGAAAAACAGTTTACTTACTGGATTAAGAATTGTTTTGATTCTTTCCTTGTCAGTGCTTTATCATCAAAAAATAGGAGATGTTGAAACTACGTTAACATCATTTTCAGTAATGTTTCAAAATGCATTTTTCCTCACTTGGAGTCTGAGTGATTGTATCATGTATGAATTGGCACTACTTAACTGATCATACACTTGTTTTTTTTATTAGACATTCAAGTCAAACAGAAATGAGTTGACGAGTTAGTAACATGCACTTGTTAATCAGAGGAAGACTCAGTTGTTTTGTATACCAAATTTAATTTCTATTTTATGAATTTTCTGTCCTGTGAAGTGGGAATGTCAGCAACACTTCCAATAATACAACTGAACCCATTAATGCTTAAGGGTGAATGCACAGACAGAAAATGAATGGTTAAAGGGATTTCAGAGGCAAGAGACAGAATAATATTCTCTCTCAACACAACCACAAAAACATACAGTGCAAAATACTTTTGGACTCTCAAACTGCTGAAATCTACCTTCATTGCCAAAAGAAAATGGGAACGGGAGGTGCAGGGGGAAAAAATGAACTTGTTCCCAAACTGCAGAACTACACGTAATAAGAACAGTACAGTCAGACCTTCCTAGCAAAAATCTAGCCTGACATTTGTGAGAAACTAGATCATTCTCAAAAGCGATCGTGCAACCACTGATGACACTGAAATTCCCAGTGCCATACTATCTGTTCACTCTTTTCTGCATAGCACTAACAAGATGCAGAAGTGAGTTAGCAAAAGAAGCCATCTTGGCATTCCCATCCTTTTGCCAAGACATGGCAAGATTGCAAACATCCTTGTTCAGAGACCCAGTGCAAATCAATAATCAACTCCAAGGTGAAATAAAAAAAAAAAAAAATTAAAAAAAAAAAAATCAAACAAACAACCCTAGCCAACTACAAAGACAATTCCACACCCTAACCAACCAACTTTCAGTTACATGAATTCTTTCACAGGGATAGCTGGCACAGGCTCTAATATTACAGTGTAAAAAGGTGTAAAAATGTATAGCAGGGGTGAGAGGATTCCTGGGAAACCCATCCTTTTGGTAACTGTAGAGGCCAGATGTAAAAAAATAGCCTGGAAGTTTGTGAAGAGGGAAAAAGGGAGGGGAAAAAATGAAAAATAGATTTACATACCTCCTTTCTACTTTTCTTGCATGCAGTCTCCAGAATTCCATTGCCTTCAACAGAATTTAGCACCTCTTTAACTTTTCGCTTCTTTTTCAAGGTTGCCGCTTTCTGGTTGGAGGCCTTGATCCCTTCCAAAGCAACCAGCTTTGTCTTTTTCTTCAATTTGACCTTTCCGGAGGGTTCAGATTCCGAGTCCACATCTCCTGACAGTGGGCCCTCCTTCTTGGATTTCAAGTCTGTCTGCTGCAAAAAGTTCTCCCCATTGACCAAAGCAGACTCTGCTTTTTGTTTCTTTTTCCCAGCCTTGAGAATTAATGGTGTGACAGATGGGCTGACATCCTCTGCCTTGTTGGCTTTAGCTGGACCATTTTGACACTCCAGCTTTCCAAGAACATTTTGCACTTTTGGATTCATTTTCTCTGACTGAATCTTTTTACTCTGTTCTGTGTCAGTCTGACTGTTCTGTGCAGAGACACTGTGCTTATCTCTGGTGTCACTTACTGCATTTCTGATCTCATTTGTCTCATTAACTAGCAATTTCTTCTTCTTCTTCATCTTATTATTTTCTGGCATCTTTCCTGGGTTCAATATAACACATCCAGATGTTTCAGCTACTCCCTCCTCAGAATTTCCATCGATTGTTCCAGAATCAGCATGTGGGCTCTCCCTTATCTTCCTTTTTTTCCTCCTCTTCTGTGGAACTGATGTCTCCTTTGCACTTGATGCCTCTTGTTCATCCTTCCCTGAGCCTACCCCAAAAGGAATGCCATACAACACAAATGTGAAACAAAAAAGCAGCAAATGGTTCTGGTTAGTCCTTGATTTTTATTTTTATTTTTTCTCCTAATAGACATAATATTTTCTTGTTTTACTCTTACAGCTGCTCAGGACATCACATTCCCTGAACTCCTAGCCTAATTAATATTTTGCTGATCTTGCCTTGTCACAGCTGATTTCTAAGCCATTCCATGGGGGACCAATACTCTGTATAGAAACAATGTTAAAAAGAGTTATTATCTACCTATTAATCCCAGAAGAAGGGCAACTCAGGGGTTCAGTAATTTAGTGAGATATTTTTGGTATGATTCAGCTTCGGACACATCAGTATTAGACATACTGCTTTAGATTTGTTCCTGCTTCTTAGAAACTTTCTTCACCTATCCAGAAGTTCCACCAAATTCCTATATTCTGATATCCTTTTCCAGGAATACTGACATGTTTCTGTTTTTCTATAGTAAGTGAACTGCTCAATAGAATAAAGCAAACAACTGCTTTAAGTTCTGCTTTTGATCAAAACTGAGGGGATCTTCAGCTCAAAATGAGAAACAAAATTCCCATCACTATCAAACAGACCTTAATTTCACTTTTAATCTTCATTGCTATACAAATTAGGGTGCTCTAAACAACAGTTTATGCCTTCTTCAGAATTGCAGTATCTGATACCTTGTGTTAGTGGACAAGTGATCATAGATCATCTCTCTTAGAAAGGTTGACCTTGTCTTACCTTTTACTTTTTCCAAACTATTTTTCTCTGAAGGTTTAACAACTTTTTTCTTTCGCCTTCCTCTGCTGAACGTATCATCATCTTCATCTGTAGAAACATCTTCAGGGAAATCTTGGGGGAAGATTCCTGTTGAGGGGAAAAGATAAGGTATCTGAAAAGCACTACTGTTTTCTATGTTGCTGTTCACTTACAGCATAACTCCCACAGAAAGGAGATCAACTCATTGTTACCCACTCAACTCAAAACAAAATCCTACCAGTGATTCCTTTTTGATTAAGTAAAAATAACAATCTTTCATTTAAGGACAAAGGACAGGGTTGTTGAAATTGTGAAGTGGATTTGGCAATCTCACAAAAAACATGCAATTAGTCTTAGTGAAGTTAAAGGAAAAAGCCCACAACACTACAGTATCCTTGAAAAGAAGCTTAAACAACAACGATTTGCGATACACATTGCATGGGGATCATTATATATTCTTTAACTGAAAGAAATTCTTTCTGGTCAATCCTTACCTTCTGCTAAATCCTGGAACCTGGAGGTAAGAAGGAAGGGAGAGAAGGAAGAACAAATCAGCATTACTGATTTAGTACCAATTGCAACACAAGTAGCATAGTATCACTGTACTCATTATTCTGTTGAAATAGAAATGATTTGACAAAGGAAGTTACAAAATGCTTACTCCAGAAGAGATCTGCCAAAATTGAAAGTCTTGAGAAAAGAGGAATTTAATGCTCTTATAACAATAATTTGTGTCACATATAATGAAATATGACATTCTGCAAGACACAGCCACCCAGTGCAGACTACAGTTGCCAATGAGGAACAGCAGCACAGGCTTCATCAGGCATAAGCCAGGTAAGCCTTCCTTTGTGACACTGTCAACAGAACAAGAGGGCAAGAGGAAAGTGAAGTAATTTAAGACAAGATAGCACATGCAAGGTGTACTTCAACAGAACTCACTTTTTGACCAGCTTGTACAGACGCTTTCTGTTAAGGGCAGGTGTATTTTTCTTGCTTGCCAGTTCGAAGAGTTTGTCAGCAACAGCCTTATAATCAAACTGTTGGAGGAAAGCACAAGATGGCTTTTCTTAGTAGACCTATCACGCAAGATAACCCAGTGAGACTAACATTAACATCAATTCAAGAACCAAACACACCCTTTAAACACTGACTTCCTTTAAACCCAAAGTAATTTTCTGTTGAAACCACACATTTCTACTCACTTTTAAAGGTGTTTGTATTCAGTATCATTTCCTGAAACATTTCTAACCTTAATTCCTAAAAAAAAGAAAAGCTAACCAACTTCTGAACTCCTCAAAAAACTTAGTTAAGGACCAGATTTAAAATACACCATTTATTGTTTAAAAGATACAGATGGGTGAAGAATATCTGCCTGAATGTGCACGATTGGTGCATCCTTCAAAAACTCTACACTGCACTTGGAAGCAGGCTTAGAAAACACGAATTGCAACATGTTACTCTCTTAGTTTTGCTCTTATTGTCATTAAATCTTACAGTGATTTCTTGACCATTCACAACGATTTGGCTTTTACCACACATTTCTGAACTGCTGAAATAGGAAAGGAAGAGCAAAAGGAAGAAGGTACAGTAGAGGAGAAAGAAAGAATCAGGGAAGAAGATTAAAATTTTATAACATGTTTATCTGCTTTATACTCTTTATTTCTGTACATGTTGAAATAAAAAATCAACAACAAAAAAGAAAATACAGAGGGGGCACAGTTAACATAGAAAGCAAGCCACAAACCTGAAGAACAGGCCCAATACTATCATCAGCATTTTCATACGCATCCTCTGTTTTATCAGTGCTCTGTGCAGATTTTCCTGACAAACGTCTATTTGCTGTTAATAAAAAGTAAAACCAAAACATTGAATATTAATGTTTAGTTTGTAAAAACAGACACCAAGCACTACTCTCATATAGCAGAAGATTAGCTGCAATTTTCTTCACACCACCTCGTGAGCCTGTCCTGTTTTAACTGCTTTAAGTCACCATTATGCAATACACAATAATGCCATTATCTGAGAACACAAAAATACCTGAATCAAAAACCTGCCTGCTCTGTTGTTTTTTTTTTTTCCCCATTTATTTTTAGTTCCCACAGAACGCCAAAACCACACTGTCTTTTAAAAAGCTCTGAATACCCAAGAGCCAAAGGCCAGACTGGACTACCTAGCATTGTTGGAGAAAGCTGGTATAATCTGTTTTTATAGAAACCATCCATTTCTGTGACATGTTCTTGTGGAATCGCTTTTTTTAAGCACATCCGAAGAAAAATGAGGAAAAAGACAATCACTTTCACAAAGCCCTGGACACGTGTTTGAGTGGTTCAATGCAGAAATGTATTTTTAAGAAATAGAGTTTTTAAATCTTATTATTACTAAGGATACTCATAACTTTGTCCTCACCTTTGGTTTTAAGCGTCTCTTTCTTCCCCTGTTCATCATCTTCAGACACATCTTCCTCATCACTGCTGCTTTCCAGTTCTTTCATTAGGTCTTCAATGGCATACGGGGACTGATCCACAATGATCTCAAAGATACCACTGGCTACAGCATGCATCACAGGAGGACTATGTTAAAAGAGAGCAGGAATGAGAGTTGAGAAGCAGAAGCATGCTCTTTTCTGTGGAAATTTGGGGGACACAAGGAAAACGAGTAATAAGGAACAAAGAGAAAGAGCACCTACAGATGGGAAAAGTCACCCTATTAATTTCTAAAAAGCAGTCCTTAATATCCAAATAATCATGGCTATTAGGTGTTTTACTAGAGGTGTTACCCTCTTAAATTTCACAATGTTTACACACTGGTTTACATTACATTGCTGAGACAGTCCAACCTACTCACCCGTTCTACACACGCTAGAAACAAAATCAACCAACCTGTGTTGACGTGTTTTTTATAGATCTATAGAGATTACTTACAAATTTTATAAACATAAATTATCCTCAAGTGATTATTCACAGTAAAATACCCTTCTTTCTCTATGCTCTGAAGTTACACCACGGCTTTTCTTGTTTATTCGGACATGGTGAGGTAGAATGTCTTCATTCTTAAGAAGTATTTATCCTTTCATTAAACTTACTCTTTTGATTTGGCAACGAAATTGCAGAAAGGTTCAATGAACTTGAGACTCTGGTCTGCTGTGAGCTGTATGATTAGAAAGATAAAAGCAGTTAGCACAGCAAACATATGTGCATTCAAATTCCTTAAATATTTGGTGTGTGTTTGGCACATCTTTAAGAAGTTGTGCCACTGTCTTTCAGCATACTCTCTAAGTCCAGCTGACCCAGTGGCTTTTTGTTACCACTGCTACCACTAACTTCCAAACATTCTTTGGAAACATCCTAAAAATGCTAACAGCTTTGCAAACTTTAACTTACTGAGGAGAAAAATACAATGATTGAGGCTTTGTATTTCAGAAATAGAAAAATGAGATGGAGAAACCTTAAGTAGTTTGGTGTGCATTCACAAAGACAGACTGTGACATGAATAAGATCTGGCTTTCCTTCAACCTGCCAGTCCAGATCATGGCAGACAGCTACAGTACTATTACAGTAATACTGAAGTACCACTTTCCTAAACTCAATTTATCACCTGTAACTACAAGCGGTCTTCAAGACTAAATCCCCATGATAGCTATCTGTGGGGCTGTCACTATGGAGCTTACAGATATCACATAGGCTCTAAGTGCAGACTGGTCTCTCAGCCTCCACAATCTGGAATAATAAAAGCGGCAGGCAAGATTATATGCAATGATGACTGCAAAGAATACAAATGGAAAGCTGCTAACTGTTTCCTCCATTGCTACAGTAAGTATCAGATTGAAGAAATAAGGAGGAAAATGTGCACAAACCTAGAACTAAGTATGGGGCAGCAGGCAGCTCACCCTAGTGGAGTAACAGGAAAAATACAGTTTGGAAAAAGTTCAGCAGCAATAGGCTTTTAGTTGCTGCAGAACTGCAGACTGAAACAGAAAGAGACAGCAATCCACAGCAAAGACAGACCCATGTCATCATCAAAACGAGCAGCTAAATGTAAAGGGTAACTTGCTCACTGCACAGGTCCAAAGCTAACAATAAAAAATAACACGTAACTTTGATAGCTTGCTTTCTTCCTCTATGTAGGTGCATTACAGAATCAGCCAAGAGCAGACTGTGGGCCCATTTTTGCAAAAGCAAGGATTGCCAACTGTGTTCTTGCAGGGAAAAGCAACTTAAGTCCTTTCAGAGAAACAAACCAGAATGTCATAACTCTTTCACTGCTATTTCCAACCTAAAATGAGAGCTGTGTATGTACCAGTACTCAAGGACCTAATTACTATATTCTCACTTTCTACACTAAGACACAAAGAAAGTGAAGGCGTAAATTGTAATAAGTCACCTTCTTCATGCTCATTCAATGTTGCTGTGTTACATTTAAAACTGTTAAACATATATAATGTAAAAAAATCGTATTTCTTTTAAGGTTCTCCATGCTATATTGACATTTATCAGGAATACAATGCATTTTCTAACCTCCTTTGCACCAACTTTAGCCAATTCTTGCAGATAGATATCAATGAAATGGAACTTTATCCCTTTGGGAGCACTGCTGTCTGGGTCCATGACTTCCTTCATTAGTAGCTGCAATAGCATTTCTCTTAGGCTACAAGGAAAAAAAAAAAAAGAGGAAAAAAAGAGCAAGACATTAATATTCAATTGTTCAGGTTGTTTGCTTGGAAAAGAAACTCCAGTCATTCACAGTTTTACCAGTTCTTAAGGCGGGTGTTCAACACAAGAAACAAATTCTATGGTGGATTTTCAAATCTTAAGAAACAATTTTTAAAAAATCCACATACAATTAGAACTTCTTACAGTCTCGATTATTTTGTCACATCATACAATCCAGTCAGCACAGTTTGCTACAGTGGAATTCAGTTTTAAAATTCACTTGAAAATGGACTGAACTTTATTATGCTATATGACTGATGGATAGGACATTTTGAGCAGGGCACTCCTGAAGACCCAACTGTCATCCTTGATGAGTGACATCTCCCACTCCTCATTTTAAGAGATAACTTTCATTTTGTTGTACATCCAACAATTAAATTTTACACTGATCCTTCTCAAACTCATTTCCATTGTTCAGACTTTGTCCTCATTAGAGCATACTATTCACCATTCCTTATAGCAAAACAGTGACCCGTGGGGATTTACCAAATGCAAAACTAGGATCAAATAGGGAGGCTGACAGATACGTTCCTATTTTCTTTACATTCTCATTTCCTGTTTCCATGAAATTATGCCCATATGCACCCACACTCCAGAAGGTAAAAGACAAAGAAGATAAACATAATACTAGGCTATCACTTTACATCAAGACTTCAAAGACTGCCATCCGTTTAAATGCAGAACAAGCTTACAAGTGGCAGAAGGACTCTAAATAGAGCAGGATGACTGCAATCACTTGCATTTTATGGCATATGGGAGAAACATAAATCATGAATGTAAACTGGCTTCCTGTTGCATACAACAAGGACAGCTTTTCCAGATCTGTCTTATAAAAAGGCAAGTCACCATGATTAAATAGAATAAATAAAAACTTTAAAAAAAAAAAAAAGCCACAACTAATAAGAAGCACATTATAATAATAAAAAAGTTCATTTTCTGTGTTTTTTGTGATGTTGACTCTCAGCCTAATCCCTCCACAGAAGAAAATTCACTTCTAGTTCTCCTGGCTAGATAAAGAAGATCTGGCAAACCACATTATATATTTGAAAGTCTCATGTATCAAGACTCCTTTCTAAGCTACGTATTGTAACAGAATACAGAAAAGCAAATAAATCTTAGAGCTGAGGCTTCATGGCAGTGCTACCTGGGAAGAAAAAGGATCTATTAAATGAAAATATACTTTGCAAAAATAAATTGGGTAACTTCCCTACAATGCAATTACATTCAGAAATCTGCTTACCTTTCATCCCAGTCATTTCTTTTCAGCACTTCAAAAGATTGCCTCAAAATCATACGGATTAGCTGCAAAGTACAAAATCTGTTACAGGTGTTCATGAAAATGGATAAGAGTTAGTGTCACTGTAACAGGAATAGAATTCTTAGTGAAGCTCTTCAAATCACAAGATGGAAAGCCTCCTCCCCCAAACATTTTGATAGACTTGTCTATCATGTCAAGCAATGTGCACTGAGTTTCAAATGACAATAAAGTATTTCCATATCTCAAGCCCAGCAAAATCAATGACTGCCTCTACTGTACAGCCTTCTCCAGCTCCATCACCCTGATTTCCTCATTAAGTGCTAGAAGACCTAAAAACCCTGACAACTTGAACAAGCTGGAGACAACAGTGAAGACAGATTATAACAATAATCATTTAATTGACAAGAACCTTTTCCTAAGAGATAGCTGTGTATAAAACAAATACATTAGCCTGATTCAAACACCAAAGCATCTTCTTCCTCCTAACACTGAAAAACAAACAGCAGAAACAAATGTGCCAGCAATTACTTCATTTGAAACAAAAAGATTAATTTTTTTCTTTGCAAAGGCAGATCTTTTAAGAGTGTTCTTTCAGTGATTTTACTATCTCTGTTTTAATATACCATTTCCTATAGAAAGAATTCTGATTGCGGAATGTGCTACAATGGATACCTCAGTACTGGAAAGTTGGCATTCTAGTGACAACTGATTTCTTAAATGGAGTCATAAAAAAGTCTTTCAACAGCCTGCTCTAAATCACTGATCTTGATGCAGTGTCTGCTGAGACAGTATTAATATGCAGTGAGAGCACTTATGCATGAAATCAGCTCTCTTCCTAAGAAGCTCTCTCAGTGTAGTCTATGAGAAACGTCACTGTAATATAAATATAAAGGAAGGTAAACAAAAAAATAACTCTCAGCACAACATAAACTGTGATGACTTTTAAATTTGTGACAGTGTGCAAAAGCCTTTAAAAGAAGTATGTCCTGCAACGAATAATGAAAATAGTCACTTGTCTCCTCTTAAAACATACATACATGCATGTGCTGGGTGCTGTCTTCCAGCACACCACCATCTTCTACACATATTCAAAAAAAAAAAAAAAGCTACAATACAGTCAATATTACCATATAGTACTTATCAAGACGTAGATTGTCTATTCCATTCCACTCACGGCTCATAGTTTGCCAAAATGTTCGAATGAACAAGTGTTCTGCAGAAGAATAAAAAAAAGATTTGTAATCGCTTGTCTGGCATGCAGGTTTCTTCTGTTAACCTAAAAATCTCAAGAAATCACTTCAAGATGAGGTAGAACTGCATTTCCCGAGGGATTTGCCCAGTGACTGAGGTAGATCCGTGGGTAGATATGCTTGAGACAGACACATATCCACTAAACAAGGCAAGAAATGGCACACAGCTATTTTTAAAGACAAGGGCAATTACAGTGACAGTTGAAGTTACTAAGGCTGAGCGTTGTACCTATACATTTTCAGGCATATATGCAAGAATTCAAACACTCATTTCTACTCTCACTTCTACTCTACATTTCTACACTCACGCTAGTTTAGGCACTAACCAAGCACTGCATTTCAAGTGGATTTTGTATATTTTGTGCTTAACAGCTCATGAAACAAGATTGGGTTTGAGCAGGAAATAGACAGAACAGCAAGGTAAGGGGTTAAGTTTTCTCCGCCATCCATCTGGCAAAAATCTTATCTTTCTCACACTGGAGGGACAACCCTTCCCCTGCAACAACCAGAAATAAACTGCATCTGATCCAGGGTCTAGATACTTCCCCAAATGCAATCACGTGTACCAGCTGGACAGCCAGCAAAGGAAAAAACAAAGTTGTAATCCAGATCTGTCTCTACCCTAGGACTGTGAAAGAAGGCTCAAACACCAAAAATTAAATCACCAAACATTAAAGCACCTTGAGAAGAGTCAGATAATTAAACAGTACTTACGAGCCTCTGTATTCTGAATCACGTGGATGAGTTGTGAAATGTTATTTGCAAGTTCCTCCTAAAGGTAAACAAATACAGTTAGTATAGTGTATTTCAGAGCTTGGTCTCCTCACTACACATTCAACAAGAAAACAGCCAGAAATATGAAGAAACATCCCTCAAAAAATGTTCTCTTAACAACTGCTTTTGTACCATAGTTGGTACTGGGATTAGGTTAGTTACAAGGAAACATTCAAGGCTATAAAACCCTGTTTTACCAGTTCCCTGCACAAACCATCCTTTTGACAGCAATACTGAAGTAGGAAAAGAATAATCCAACATATCTGAATTAACTCGTGATGTAAAACTTTCGGGGTACTCTTCTCATGTAGCTTAAATATAGGTACATTTCTGTATTATTTATGAGATAAACAGAGAATAAACATTATTTATTTATGAGGTGAACAGAGAAGTGATTTGAAGTCTGATTAAGTGAGGTTACTAAGATTTCTAATCCAAAATTGGCATCTTTCGAAAATAGGTAGACAAATCAAAGGAGGGGGCAAAAAGTTGATAATAGAGGAAATACCACCAAACTCCTCATACTAAGGAACAGTTGGATTTTGTGTTGAGGGACATGGTTTAGTAAGAACTATTGGTGATAGGTGGATGGTTGGACTGGATGATCTTGTAGGTCTTTTCCAACCTTGGTGTTTCTGTGATTTCTGTCATTTTAACAAAGAACAGGTATGAAACTTTCAGACTCAGCAAACCAAAGGTTATACGTATGTTGAAGTTGCAGGTAAGGGCAATCTGCTGTTACTGCTGTAGTTCCATCAAATCAGTGCACTTCATAACAATATATATTTCATCCGGAAGGTAAATAGTTACATCTGCTTTTGAAAGGGTGATTGCAAACAACACATGGTCCACGTGGTGAAGATCACTGAGTTAGTCAACTCTACTGAATGCACCACTGTCAGGGCAAGACAGAACAGTGAGCAAGACTCACTAAAATCATTTTCACTATTCTGAAGTAGCATTCCTCTCAGTACATTTTAGAAGACACCCACTCAGACAATCATAAAACCAGTACTATACCTGTAGCAGTGGTTTATCCTGCATCCACATACAATAGAACAGTCCCTTCCATATTTTTAGCAGATCTTCCTGGCTGAAGCCACCTAGGGTACAGAATAAGTGTGAATGAAAATGAAACATCCCACTCTTCCACCAAAATGTTTTCAAGCAGTTCTCTTTCTCAGTTCTGTTCCGTGTATTTCCCATTTTTTCTTTCTTTTTGTCATACTCCTATGGGCAAATACTGATTTCTACAATAAGCAGACTAACTGGAAAACCACTTGGGATAGTACAATGATTTCATGCCTTTAAGATTTTATTGCGTGTCAAAGTAACAAAGGCTTCAAAGAAATCACAGAGATGAGAGATGACTACTAAAGTAAATCTGATAAATCTGTCTGCAGTTAAGCTTTGTTCCCTCTGGCACATTGCTAGCATATAGTCTGAGATGAGGGCATCATATCCAATTTTGAAAGAGATGTTGAGTGCAAAACCTAAAATACAGCTGACTTAGTGCTTTTTTTTTTTTTTTTTTTAACCAATATCTTTATGCAAGATACTAAAGATAGAAGAAAATACGGCCCTCCAATTATCAGCCCAGAATAGCATGCTCTTCTCCTACACAGTATAGTGAAACTGCCAGGTCAAAGCCTGAACCAATAGTTGAGCACCAGGTGAGGAGTGGCTAACCTAGAGACCTCAGGTGTAAGCAATGCACCTGAGAGAGAGAAGGGCTAGAGCCTGGAACCACCCACTCTCATTAAGCTGTGAGCAACATCTCTCTGGATAGAGATTCCCTTTCTTTCAAGCTGTTGCTGGTTGTCAGAACAGCTGAGTCAATTTTCCCTCTTTATTACCTGTTATTGCTTTGTAGTGCCTGTATCCTATTCATTGCCTTCTTATGCCATACACAAAGAATGGATTTTAAAAATGGATTGATAAGAAAAACAAAAGGACAACTTCTTAAAAATAACGTGCTTATCCAAGTTGATCCACACACATGTAATGACTTCAGAGATTCAGTAGTTCTATGCTTCCTCTGGAATTTAACTTTATTGAAGTGAAGCTCTAGCTCTTCAAAAAGGTTCCCTGGCATGGCTAATAACTCAACTGTAGCATACATCATACTGAACAGTCCATAGCCTGTGTTCTGCCTACCTATGGACCATGTGACTGAGACAAAGTCAGCAGGAACACCGGTACCTTATTCAAAAGTTGGCAAGTTCTTTATTATTCAAGTGAAGGACTCTAACTGGCTTACCTGACGTGTGACTCTCATCTCTGGCAAAGCACTGTACAGATATATGCCTGCTTACTCATAAATAACTTGAAAATAAAAAAACCTCTTCCTGAACATGACACTCTTTTTTCAAGTCCAAATCAACGAACTTTTGTTTTAATATTCTAGCCTGAACTTTACTTGAGAGCAAATAAATCCAAGAGCACTGGAAATCAGTCACTTTGCTCTCTTCCTTGTTTGCATTTCATGGTGGGTTGATCTTTATGTGCAAAAGGTTCACTGACTACTTCCCTATAGTGGTTTCCTAATATTTTAAGGCATTAATTAACATGCAACCTTCTTTGCTAGTGATGGAGCTCCTACCCACCTGAAAGGCTGTTTCCACAAACTGGGAGGAATCTACACTTTGCAGTGAGGCTGAATATAGAGATATAAGAAATACGAATATAAAGATGCTACATCTAGCATAGGAAATGCCCAAAGCTAAAACAATCTGTACTTTGGAGGGGCAGCATGTACACCTGCTTGCTCTTACTAATCCCTAGGCATCTCTTTTGATTTATTTATGGCAACTGTCAGGAAGAAAGCCAGTGGGGTACCCTGGGGTGCGTTAAAAAGTGCGGCCAGCAGGTCGAGGGAGGTGATTTTCACAGAATCACAGGATGGCCAGGGTTGGAAGGGACCTCAAGGATCATGAATCTCCAAGCCCCCTGCCACATGCAGGGCCACCAACCTCCACATTTAATGCTAGACCAGGTTGCCCAGGGCCCCATCCAATCTGGTGTTGAACACTTCCAGGGACGGGGCATCCACAACCTCTCCTTTTCCACTCTCCCACCTCCGTGCTCTGCCCTGGTGATGGTTAAGGGCCAGAGCATCCCCCTTGTTTTAAAAAACTGAGAGAGCTGGGACCACCTCCTCAGCAGGCAGCAGAGCATAAAACCACACTCTTCAACTCTCACGTACTGCGAAATAGATGCGTGAAGGTTAAAACAAGAAAAAAGAAAGAAGTAAAGAAGCGAGCCCCGATCCCCACACAGAGGCCTCAACGCAGGCCCTCCCCACACGTGCCCCGCCGCCCCGTACCGCCCGGGCGCTGTGTGCGGAGACTGATGTAGCCCCGCAGCTTCTTCACGGCGCGGTCCCGGATCCGTTTCTCGTTGGCGGCCAGCCGCTGCGCGAACTGGATCTCAGGAGCCTGTGCGGCGGCGGGAGCCATGGCCCGACAGCACCGCGCCGCACCGTCCCACCGGCACTCGGGCGCACACTAGTGACGTCACCAACAGCGCCGTCGCCTTTTCTCTGACGTCATCATCATTGGGGGGAGGGGGTCGGTCACTGTGTGAGAGAGGAGTTGCGCGCCGCTTTTACACAAACTCAATAATAATAATAATACTTATTATAATAATTATAATAATAATAAAAAATAGACAACTGTTGTGCCTAAAGGTGTTTTTTATTCGCTGTAAATAACAAAACGCTCTCACCCAGCCCAGCTCCTCCCTCAGCGCAGCGTGACGCGCCGGCGCCGCGCCCTCCTTCCCGCCCTCTGCCTTCCCCTCTCTTTCCCGCCCTGCCGCCTGGCGGTGCTCGGTGCCATGCGGCGCTACGCGGGGCAGGCGGGCGAAGCGCAGGTAGCGCCCGGTTGGAGGGCGGGCTCTGCCTGAGGGCTGCGGGGAAGGGCCGTGCTTCCCTCTGCGTGCAGCGACTTGTTGCGGCTGGACGTTGTAGTGCGGCGAGGTGTTGGGTGAAAAAATAAATCCTGGTTTTTCTTTGTGAGGGTTTGTGGTTTACAGGGAGGTAAACCCTGCGTTTTGAACCTCGGTAGTGGGTTTTGCCTGGGTTTGGTCACAGAGAGCAGATAATGTGGTTTTTATGTCTGTGCCGTGCTTTGTTTTGTAGTTTTGGACTTACCGAACTGTATTTCTGGCTTTCCTGTTTGTCTGACTGGAAGTGTTCACCTGGTGTCCTCTAGGGAGTCCTATTACATATGCTCTCTGTGTGTTTTTGAGACTAAAATGAGTTGTTTTTCTGTGAATTGTGTAGCATGGTGGATCTTGATTGTGTTAACTTTCCCATAAAGGCTCCCTAATTGCAACTGAAAGTGAAAAACCTTCTTCCATGTCTTTATTGATGGTGAGTAGAGTTAAATCCAGTTATTGACTGGTTGCTAGCAGAATTCCTCAGAGGTCAGTGCTGGGGCCAGCCCTGTTTTATGTCTTTATTGATGATCTGGATGAGGGAATTGAGTGCACCCACAGTAAGTTCGCAGATGACACCAAGCTGGGAGGGAGTATCAATCTGCCTGAGTGTGGGAAGCCCCTACAGAGGGATGTGGAAAGGCTGGATAGCTGGGCTGAGATCAATGGGATGAGCTTTAATAAGTCCTGATGCTGTGCTCTGCACTTCTGTAATAACAACCCTATGCAATACAGTAGCTTGGGGCAGAATGGCTGGAAGGCTGTTCTCAGGAAAAGGATCTGGGGCTGTTAGTTGGCAGCCTGCTAAACATGAGCTAACAATGTGTCCAGGTGGTCAAGAAGGGCAATAGCATCCTAAATTGTATCAGAAACAGTGCAGCTAGCAGGAGCAGGGAGGTGATCAGGACAGTGATAGGACGAGAAGAAATGGCTTCAAGTTTTGCCAAGGCAGGTTCAGGCTCAAAATTAGGAAGAACTTCTCAGAAGCAATAGTGAGGCAGTGGCACAGGCTGCTCAGGTAGGTGGTGAAGTCACCGTCCCTGGAGGTGTTCAAGGAAAGAGTAGTTGTAGCACTGAGGGATGTGGTCAGTGGCCATGGTGGTGATGGGTTGATGGTTGGACTAGGTGATCTTACTGGTCTTTTTTAACCTGAATGAATCTGTGATTCCATAATGATCTGAGTTTGTCATGGATGACTGGTCTGGAGATGGCTGTGCCTTGAGGCGATGGTATCTTGTATTCCCTAGCACACTCATTTGTCTGAAAGAAGGTGAAATAGTATGTGAAGAATCTCAATTTCTGAGACCTGCACCATTCCCTAAAATGTAAACTGAAAATGTCATTTTTGCATTATGAAAGTGTACTAGGTCATTAATGTTTTAGACAAAGGAAGCTGAACCTTCTATGTTGGTGTGTAACATCTTTAAGATGCAGCAGCGTGCATACCAAAATACATCAGAAACTGGAGTTGGGTAGTTTATTATACGGAAAGATTTGGTATCATTTTAAAATCAGTGCACGTTCTCTTGGACTGTGCAATTGAAGTTATTTCGTAGCAGTATCTTGGCACAAGAGGAAATGAGTAAATACATTTCATAGAATCATTTTAGATAGAAGAGACCCTTAAAGGTCATCTAGTAATATTTCCCTTTAAATAGGGATACGTACAGCTACATTGGGTTGCTCAGAGTCTGGTCTAGCCTATCCTTGAGCGTCTCTAGGGATGGAGCATCCACCTCTCTTCTTGTGTTGACTTGGGATTGAATTACTTTTATGTGGGATTGGATTACAAATAGCTTTTGCTTCTCACAAAAGGTCAGGTATTCTGAAAAAAAAAATACATTTTCTAGATGACTGAGGACCTTGCACATATTTGAGTTAATTAAAAAATGGAGCTACAGTGTACGTTTTACAACAATTTCTAAACAATAGCTTTGCATATGTATAGCATTTTCAGACATGTGAATGTTAATTCTTACAGCTTTCTGAGGTACACTGCACACATTTTAGGTGAAAAAACAGATGTAAAGAGATAATATGATTTGCTTTAGGCCAGAGTGGCAAAAATCAGATTACACTCAAAGACTTTCTGTCCCAGGGACTCGTTTTAAATTATTACTCAATAGTTCTCTTAAAATAAGGTTATGAATTTCTGAACTGATGTTGTGCAGAACAATATTGTTGAGAGAAAGGACGCAAGCAGAAGAGTACTTCAAAGCAATAACAGTGTCGTTTTCTGGGGGGGTTTGTTTGTTTTTATGTTGGTGGTGGTTTTGTTTTGTTTTCCATTTCAGAAGGATGAAAGCAACGAGGACTTTGTTCAAGTCAGAAGGAGGGATTTGGAAAGGCTGACAACTGAGGTTATGCAGTTGCGGGATTTCTTACCCAAGGTACTCGATGGTGATATTGTGTGGACGTTCCAGAAACTGGATGCTATTGAATCAAGTGAGTGGTGCCATGTTGTAAACTGAGATAGTTTCTGCCAAGACTAAGTGTGAGCTGTTTTGCCCAGATGAATGGTTGTAGAGTTTGAGGCGTAACAGGTTTAACTGTGATGTTTAGACTGCTTCAGGAATTTAATGTTTCTGCAATGAAGAAAATTAGAAAGCACATTAGAAATAATTAGGCTTATATCAAATTAATTTTTAAGAATATTTTGCCGTGGATAATACAGTTCAGACAGTGAGAGAAGGTGTATCAGGAAAAAAAGCGACTCTGAGGGAATGGGAAAGTATTCTGTTTTTCAAAATGTCTCTTAAAGTTATCAGCAAAAGAACAGGTGAAAAAAAACCAATCTGTAGTTGAGAAGCTAAATTTGAAGGAATAGATAATAGCTTTGTGTTTAATAGGCTGAGCTTTGAAAACAGCTATTCTACCTTGAGTTTGAGTCAGGTCTTGACTTCTTCTCTGTGAGACTTTCTCTTGATGAATACCCAAGCAGTCAAGTGAAAGAAGATCTACCTAGCAAGTCCCTGCCTCCTGGTGTGAGTGTCTGCATAATTTCTGGCCCACGTAGCCTTCTGGAATGAGTCCCTGATGTATAATCTTTTAACATTCTTTGAGACTTTGACTCAGATGGCAGAGGCTAAGATTGTGGTCTAGCCTTAAATAAATGCGTTGACCACAAAGTACTGGAAGAGAAGCAGGGCTCTGGAGTCCTACACTGGAATGCTGTCTAAGTTGGTTAAGATAGATATGGAACAACTTTTCATAGCATCCTTTGGTTCTAAGTTGCTTTACTGCTATTAACTAATTTTCAATCAAACTTCTGTAGCTAGAAGTACAGTAGAATACCTAGAAAACATCATGACTCAAACATTTGTGTAACTTCAGAAGTTACCGCTTTTCAGAATTCTAGGCTTTACAGCTTGCTGCAATTGCTGGCAGAACCTCTGTGCTAATACTTCCATTCCATTTGCTTTTTCCTCCAACAAAAGTCCAGGACACAGGCACAAGGCCTGTCTATGATACTAAAGATAGTATTGGGGTGGAGTTTCCAGCAGTCTCCATCATCTGCTCTTTGGAAGGCTTCTTGCATGCCATCAAATACCAATAGAAATAAGGAGACTGTACCATCTCCTGCTGCCACTCAAAATGTCACGAGATGTGATGTAAGATCTGGAAATGGTCTATGCTACTGCATGGTACCAAGGACTGTTGCCTGTTGGGTTAAGCTTTCATCATTCTCAACTTGTCACATCCTTCTTTTACATAATTTTATCAGTGCTCAGCCACAAAATTTCTCTTATGCTCCTTATGCCAGGGACCAAGGTGACGTTATCAGAGCATTTTAGCTACAGGTTTGTGTTGTTGACACACTGATCTCAAGACTTTCTTCCAAATGTTTTGCTGGCTTGCCATTACTCTGTAGGCACTTTGGAGGAGTCGCTGAAGTCAATCTTTAAATTATCTTGTGTGCATCCCCACAAAGGAGACTTTTCTTCCAGTTAATGTTGTGTCTTGATATCTTATTCAGGCTTTTGCTGCTGTTTTCCTCTGCAGCTGGACATGTCAAGTGGTGATTTTTACTATTCCATTCTGCTCCCGCTTCTGTAGCAACAACAGCACGGAGTAAGGTACGCTGAGAGGAAGCTGTGGAACATGCTGCTCATAAAAAGTGAGATGTCACAGGGAAAGCTGCAATGGTCCTTAAGTAAGGTCTGTGGATGTTTGAGTGTGAAGCTCACAGGACTCTTCTGGCAGCTGCTTGAGATGGTTTTCCATACAGGTCTCACAGAGGCCTGTGGCTGATCTAGGCTTTCAGCAACTATCACAGTTTTCTAGGTAGTGTAAACATCAATTGGCTTATAATCTGGATTGTAGCCAGAGACTTTAAACACCTCTTGTTTGTTCAGTTGTGAGACTGATGACATCTTGAATAGCTTCAGGAAGCTCTGAGATCATGGTGATACAAGTGATACTTGCATAGTTTGATCAGTTAGATACCTGTTTGCTATGGGAGTATCCCACTGGTGGTATCCAAGATCTGAACTGGCAACAATACAACTGACACTACATTTGTGCTGCTGTTGGAGTCTTTGCTAAGGCTTTTTCCAGCATGATTTTTTTGTTTCAAAAAGAGGGGACTGTTTTCTTCTTATAGCCCTATTCAGGAAAAGTGGT